AATATAGCTAAAGAGATATCTTTTAAATGCGTTAACATATCCAGTACCAGCGATTTTTCACTTGATATACTGTGACACTCTCTACAAAATCAAGGCTTTCGACAATATTCGAACTATTTCACTGACGGGTTGTATGATCGCATTTGCCAGGTTTCCATGACAACGGTCCATGGAGTAAAACGATTGCAATTTGGTCTGACTCGTAAGATTGTTTTTTTTTTCTACTAAACAACTATCTTTTTGTTTTGTTTTAATTGAAGTTATTAGTTAGAAAGGGTTGTAGTGTTCAAATATTTGCTAGTCATGCTTCGAACGCATACAATCCTAACATATTACCTCATATTTCCGCGTATAAGACGATCTTTATATCCCCCAAATCATTCTTAAAAATTGGGGATCGTCTTATACTACAAGTTTAAAAAAGAAACCATAAATGTTTGTCAGTAGGCTATCCTCTGCCTCGGTGTGATAACCAATAACGTACATGAAAATATTCACATTATGAAATAAACTGATAATAAAACCATTTCTACCTTATATTTTACTGGCATAATTTCATAATAAATTGGCTATTCAAAAAATAATTCCATATCAATGAAATCAATATGTACCCGTGCAAACTCAAATGAGAAAATGTAAACATCGATTTATGATTGCGTTCACAGTGACCTTTATCTTTCGCTGAACTTTCAATAATCATCATGGAAGTATTAATTACGGCAGTATTAACATTTAAGATAACATAATATTCATTTCTCATTAAAAAGTCGTTATCATTTCGATGTTAAATAATAACATAATTTAGGATAACATACAACCTTTATTTTTCAAACAAAAATCCTTTTTACGGTAGTTTCAATAAAAAAAAAATATGAAAGTGGAATGGACTAGTATCGTATTGTTATTCGCGGTATTTTGTGATTGTCGATGAAATATAACTAAATGGCCATTAGTACATCAGGATGTTTGTAAATGTGCAGATATAGAAAAAGGAGGAGAATCAGTGCTGAACGAATCTCGGAACAAAAACTTTTCAACGACTTATCTGAAAGACATTTTTTAAAATATGATATGAAAATCTTTTGTCGGTAGAATATTTTGTCAGAGATTATGTATGAATTCAATGGAAATGTTTTAGTCGTACTCGAATATTGAAAAGTACTGTATTATTCTGGGGAGGTCTTAAACAATAACCGATTTTCCAATTTGTTCTCCGTGTAGGCAATTCGAAAAGTAACGACTGATTTTATTGTACCACATTTTAATCCTATCGTCTACTCGATATTTCTGTAATTTCCTTGTATATCGTCTAAGGTTAACGTTTAAGATATATTTATGATCCCTTTTTTTTTTTTTCTTGCAAAGCTAATAATTTGCAAATTTAATTGCCGTAGACGAAAATTGCTTTGACTCATGAGTTTCCTTGCAGAGTTTAAAAGTTGGCCCTAATGCCTGTTTGATTGTCTATAATATTAGTAATGTCTGAGATGAAGGTAGAATTTTATCTTAACTAACTCGTCGGTTTCTGAAGTTCCAAAACGAACATTCAAGAATAAATTTGAAAGAAGGTTTCCTGTTTCAAATGTTCTGTTGGAAGAGTTAAGGGAAGAGAATCTTACTTTCAGAAACCGCAGAAAAATAAAGGGTATAATCGACAAATTTAAAACCATTTAAATAAAATTGGTAAAACGGAGGAATTTGAATAACGCGTTGCTCGTGAAGACGAAGAAACCAAAAGAATATTTCGTTTCAAAAATATTTGACATTCATCTATGACATGAATTTAGACAAATAGCAGCGGTAAAAATAAAAATTGGAAAAACAGGAAAAAAGAATCTCCATCTGATAGTAGTCAATCTTATAATCTTTTTTGTATACATGTATCCTTGGAAGCAAACTTCTCTTTTCCTTTATCATACTTATTATAAAACCCAGGTTGTGTGTGTATGTTTATATATTGGATCGGATTTCCTACATTTTTTCAACCGATTTCAACAAAACTTCACAGGACTACGTAAAATTACCTTGCGGTGGTTCTGGCAGCGCCAAAAATCGAAAAAACACAATTGTTTTTGCACAAAATCAATTAGAAAACACGATTAAGATACATCGCGGGAATGAAAGGGGGACAACTCATATCGAGTTTTACTTATAAAACCCAGGTTGTGTGTGTGTTCCTTTATATACGGGATCGGATTTCCTACATTTTTCAACCGATTTTAACAAAACTTCACTTTTTTTTTTTTTTTTTTTTTTTGGCAGTTAGTGTTTCTTATTGTATTGCACGCTTTTTTCTTTATTTTTACATTCAGAATGCTTTAAAAATTCCATTTACAAGACAATTGTTTATAATAAAATTCTATTCAATCAGTAGACTCATAACGATTGAAAACAATGTTTTTGTTTGGTCAATTCGTAAAAAAAAAACAACAAAAAAAAACTAATTAAGACATGCGTGTCCGTCAACCTTAAACAATAATCTTTGTCAATTTTATTTTTCAGTCTTTATGATGGTCGATACTTGATCTATCTCTTACTGTTACATCCCCGGGCAACGCCGGGCTCTACTGCTAGTTACTTAATACGACTTCCAGGATAAGGTTTTAGTAGAGAGCCACTGAGATCAATAGTGTACTTACCGGACAACTGAACTGGATGTAAATAAATAGATAACAACTGTCCTCTGATTACAATTTTAACGGTTAATTTGCAGTGTAACACCCGCACTCAGTTCTCATTAAAAATTTCCAGAATTCTTACATCTATGTGTAATTGTACATTCGAATCTGGCTTGATAAATTTGATAAAATCTACCGTTTTGGAGTTATCGACAGTGAAAATTTGGATTCGTTCGCGTTGCGGGCAGCCGTTACGGGCGTTGTTTGTATACATTCGCTGCAGAATAGCTATCAGTATAGGTATCATTGCGCAAACTGAGGGTGTCTCCGTAAATAGTTCTCGTGCGCAGTAATGGCAACCAATTTAGACAAGTTACGAGCTTAGCTTTCCGTAGTCTTCCGTTTTTAGCTTTCCGCAGCAAATGTATGCAAACAACGCGAATAATGGCGGCCGCCAACGACGTGATTGAATCCAAAATTTCACTATCGATAACTTCAAAACGGTAGATTTTATCAAATTTATCAAGCCAGATTCGAATGGAGCATATACAATTACACATAAATGTAAGTATTTTGGAAATTTTTAATGCAAACTGAGTGTGGGTTTTACACTGCAAATTAACCATTTTAACTTTAAAGAGCTTAAAATTAAACATCAGATGAACCAGTGTTTAATTTTAAGCTGTTTATGTATAGCTGGCCACTCATATTCGAGGATACCCGTCTACTAGGGCGGCTATCCAATCCCTATTGAAGACGCTTTCTTGGGCGCATTTGCGTTTATTCAACACCCACCGAGCCCACCTGTGGTTTATACTGCAACTGTGCTTAGTTACAGTTTCTGGGGAAAGTGCGTGTTATCCAACGTGATCAAGGCGTGCACGCTCGGCCACGATAACTTGTGATTTCGTGCTAGCACAGCTCTCGACGGTTTCCGTCTACCCAATTTCAGTCACAAAGCTTGGGTCAACCCGTTTGTATGGTTTTCAGGCACTTTCCAAAGATGCCGCACGCTAGGATCGACCCCTCCATACTGATAATATCATTCGCCTTCCTGACAAATCGACAATGGTGAGTTTCGAACTAGGGTTTCATGCGAATGTTCTAACCTCTCAGCCACGTGTCCAAGCTGTTTAAAGAGTCTCTCTTTCACTCGTGCTATTTTCTTAGTATTTTCTTTTCAATTATGCCATTATTATCGTTCACCCCGATGACATATTTGTAGACGTCGTCTTGTATATAAAACCAAACCCCACCTCCACAATTAAATCTTATTTTCCGTTTGCCATGTCATAGTGCAATGATCAGTAACTAGTCTCATAAACACGACTGCAGTATGTTCCATTATTCACAGTTCACCAAAAACTTGGTGTTTTCGAATTCACTTTAATATGTACACACATTTAACAGCGAGTAATTGTCAGCAACATTATCTCAAAGAATCTTACTACTTACATAACTGGGTGCTCTGTACTTGTGGTCTTTTGCCAGATTAATCTATTTAATGATTTGGGCACGTTACTGTTGAGCGTTGGTTATCAAAATAACGTTGCATACAGTTAATATTTTAAAGAATTGTGCCCTCAATATTTGCTTTTTCTGTCATGCCGATAGGACAAAGGTTACACCGTCTGCAACTTTGCAAACCAATATTATACCAACGGACAAAAGGTGTCACTTACCACAACATGATACCGACAGAATAACGAGCCACTTACAACGTGCATGATACCGGCAGAACAAGGAGCCACTTACTGCGTGCATGATACCAACAGAACGACGAATCACTTACCGCGTGCATACTTACAAACTCAATGGCAAAACCGCTTAGTGTTTTGTCGGACTTGAATAATCAAATGCTACGATATGTCGTAAAATCTATCTCAAACTCTGCATTTGCTGTCTTGTGCCAGTCTAAGCTAAACTTTGCAAACGTTAAAATATCTTCTTTTTCCGCGTCTTCTATAAACGGCTCTGGTGTTCCGTTTGCCAAACGTTAATCAAATCAGATGTACTTATTCATTCTTTCCCTATTTTTCTAAAGTGGATCGCATTGCTTATCGGAAATTAGCTTTTTCTTTACTTTAATGATAGCATCTGAAGTAATTAATACTTACGAAAAAAAAAACCTTGGTTTGCGCTTAAGCGATCGTTCTAAATATCTCCACAATAAGTTCTTTCATTGACTTGTTAATTCTGCCAATCATGGAAACATTCTAATACGCTTCCCACGTTTAACGGCACTTCATCATATTTGTCGCTTATATTTTAAGCTTATTATTTGCTCTAATCCTGGTTTTGCGTTCCGTTTGTTTTTTTTTTTTTTTGTTTTTTATCCCACCTAGTTTCCTTTTCCTTTCAAATGACTTTCTTTATCTTCAGCCATTTTTCTAACGATTTTTTTCGTTTTCTTTTTTTCTCGTTTGTTTTTATTCGTCTTTCGTCACTTTTCTTCGTTTTCCTTCTTATCGTTCCTTTTTTTCATTCGTACTTTTTGTCATTTTCCTTTCGTTGTTATTCGTCTCTCTTTCGATTTTCTTTCCTACGTCATTGCATTTTTCATTTTTTTTATTTCTTATTCCGCATTGCTTCCTTTTTTTTTCTTTCAGCGTTTTCGTTCTTTTTTTCTGCTCTCCATCATCTTTCAATTTTCTTCGTTTTTTTTTTTTTTTTGTCTTCTGTTGCTCTCTTTTCATTTCTACTCTTTTTCTTCATTTCATTCTCTTCTTTCTCTTCTCTTTGTCCTCTATCGCTCTCTCTTCACTTCTACCTTTTCTCGTCCAATCTTTCTCTTTTGTTCTCTTCTATTCATTTTCTTCCTTTCATATGATTTATTTTCTTTTTTTCTCTTCCTTTCCTTTGTTTTTGTTTTTTCATTTTATACTCCTTCTTTCTTAGATTTTTTTTCTCTTTATTTCCTACCTTTCCTCCACTTGTAGCTTTACTTTCCTTTTCTTCCTTCAATTTTTCTCTTTCACTTCTTTCTGACCTTCATTATTACAAGTCTTCCCTCATCTCATTTTCAGTAATTCTTTCCCAATCTCACCAAATGTTTCCTTCCTACCTCCTGCTGCTGAATTCTATTGCAAAAAGCTGCACCTTTCCGCCTCAGCCGATAAGTAATAAATGTTATTAAAGCCAACACGGTGCACATTCTTCTACGACTGCAGCATTGTCGGAGCTAGGCGCTTCCGCTGCGCGGTGGTCGTGTATCCGACCTTATAAAATACTATCCGATCTTGTACATATCCGACCTTATAAAATACTATCCGATCTTGTACATATCCGACCTTATAAAATACTATCCGATCTTGTACATATCCGACCTTATAAAATACTATCCGATCTTGTACATATCCGACCTTATAAAATACTATCCGATCTTGTACATATCCGACCTTATAAAATACTATCCGTTCTTGTACATATCCGACCTTATAAAATACTATCCGATCTTGTACATATCCGACCTTATAAAATACTATCCGATCTTGTAAAATACTATCCAATCTTATATCTGTTGAAGCTTGGATAAGCATGGAATAATAATAATACAACACAAAATGTACGTAAACAAAATGTATTGAAACAAGGAAAAGGTACACAATATTTACAGTTAGTTTTGGTATATTCTTGGGAAGACTGTTCCTGCAGAATCGGTTGACTAAATCGCAGTCGGGCAGAGTCTCTCGATTGGATCTCTTCTTACTTCCTCCGTCTTCCCGGTACCAACCCATATTTATATGGTCGGTACTCCACTTATGTAAATTAGGTGGATCGTACCACAACAATATCCGACCTTATAAAATACTATCCGATCTTGTACATATCCGACCTTATAAAATACTATCCGATCTTGTACATATCCGACCTTATAAAATACTATCCGACCTTATACATATCCGACATTATAAAATACTATCCGACCTTATAAAATACTATCCGATCTTGTACATATCCGACCTTATAAAATACTATCCGATCTTGTACATATCCGACCTTATAAAATACTATCCGATCTTGTACATATCCGACCTTATAAAATACTATCCGACCTTATACATATCCGACATTATAAAATAATACATTCAGAGAAACGAATGCAAGTAAAACTTATTGCTGAACGCCAAGTTAACGACAGGTTCAATGCAATTTTCGAATCTTCATGGGGCTAATACAGAAAAAGAACGGAAGATAACGGCTGGGATCAAAGCCGATAATTCTAATCCGTTAAGCCTAGGCTTACAAATATCTTCAGCAATGTGCGGTGGTTTGTTTTCTGGCGAGCACATTCTTAAAACAAGATTTTATAAAAAGCTAATGAATATCGACAAATGTGCAGTTATCGATAAATAAATTCCATTTGGAAAGAAATGAACATCTGCCTAAAATCAAAGATCATTGCATTGGCCTTTCTCGGTCTTTCTGTACACCTGCAAATCTTGGAGATTAACAGCAGAATTAGAGCGAAGGAGCCAAGCATTAGAAATGAGATGCAACAGGACCATCCTCGGTATCTCCTACGTATACCTATAAAAAAAATAATGCAATCTAAGCGTAACAGAAAATCGGGTCAACCCAATAAAGAGACTCGGTTGGCTGCAAATGGTGCAGTAAGCACCCGGGGTTACGTCTTCTTCCACAACTGCTCTAAACAGAGGACATTCTACTTGAGCTAGGTGATGCTGACAATTTGCATATTAACGATACCGGGTTGATATTAGTCAATAGCCAAGCGTGGGTCTTGGACGCCAGTTTTTTTCTCAGTCGAGAGTGCTCCCGGCGTGCGGTAACCCAGACAAGACTAGCACAGTCAGACACGATCAGACGAGCAACAGTTGTAAGCCATCATAAATAGCTTCAAGAAGCGAAAGTTGAAATATAGATGCATAATAACGGGCAACTATCTTTCCACTGCAATTCTACAAGTTTCCACCGTAAGAAGAAGCAGACTGAGGGAAGAAAAACTGGCTGACAACATCACTGAGTGAACTAGCAAATTCTCAGACATTTGCCCGCTACCCACATATATAGAGGGAGATGATCAGTCACTCAACTGCGCAGTAATCCAACGACTTTAAACAGTTATTAGACTGATAATGATGCAGTTACTGAAATTGATAATGGCGCGAAAAGTAGAATAGGCGAGCCAAATTCAAAATCGGGGTTTCTCTCCTGCGTTTACTTTACCAATTATGCTCTTTGGTAAAGCAATGATCCATTATTACTTCTCCCTCATCTATAGGTTAAATAGTATGGTAGAATGGGGTCTGTAGTATTGAGTGAGTTTGGCAGAAAGAAATCTCTAAAATCAAAACTGTCGCGAAGTTAACGTGGAACTATTTAAGTATTTTTACTAAGAAATTAAGACAATTCCCAGACAATAAACGAAAAGGAACTGAAGAGTAATGCTTACATCCTTTCAGAAGGGGCCAGACATTTCACCCACCCCCAAAAAAGTAATATCAAATTATCATATTATATCGAGTAAGAGCCCGCTTATTTGAAAAGACAAACATTTAGAATGAGATGTTAATCGAGGGTGGCGCTCATTCGAGGAGAGCTTATTGAAAAATCACTCGTATATGAAGCAAATAGATCTTTTTAATCCTTTGTGTTTATTTATTACAAATTATAAAATCAAGATATTTCTAAAATATATATATATATTTTCACCCATGACGTTATAAGCTCATCAAAATGTATTTAGTTATGTGCTATGCGTGATACACGCTTAGGCGATCATGTATCTTTCGATATATGACTGACGAGGAAAAGTTTTTTTTTTCCGCAGTAGGTTGCCATTTCTTTCTGCGGTAGAAAGGCTATAGAACCCGATCTGTCCTGCTACTTACCCAGAGACGGGGAAGATGAAGAGAATTCATAGCACATAAGCGAATGTAATGGATTCGATTAGAATTCGAACTCGGCTCTCCGACTCTTCTATCCAAGCCGCTATCCATTACTCCATCGTATTAGGATTCCTGAAATCTTGTTATTAATGCATGTTTTGGGTAGTGACAAACGGGACAATAACAAGATGATTGGATATATCTGTAAAAAAATTTTTTTTAAATTCTTGGAACCTTTGAAATGATATAAAGCCAAGTAGAACTGATGTTGTGAATAGCGTGAAATGAATTTTAGTGACATATAAACAAGGGATCTGTCTATATTTCTAAGATGAGGTATTATGTACACTATTTACATTATTAGGATTATTGTCCTCATGTTTGTCGCCATGTTTATCACAACGTTTCGGCCGTTGTACGCTCCGGCCTTCTTCAGGTGGTTGGAATATCGAACTGAACCCTTTATTTCGCTGACTGGGGTAGACTGTTCTAGTTCCACGTACCATGTTTTTAATGGATGTCAGTTGTCAGTTATCTCCTGTTAATTCCCCTCTGAAGGCAGTGTAGAAATTTGAGAGCGGAATTAACTGGAGATAACTGACATCCATTAGACATGGCACGTGGAACTAGAACAGTCTACCCCAGTGAGCGAAATAAAGGGTTCAGTTCGACATTCCAACCACCTGAAGAAGCCGGAGCGTACAACGGCCGAAACGATGTGATAAACATGGCGACAAAGATGAGGACAATAGTCCGAATAATGTAAATAGTGTATATAAACAAGGGAGTATCATTATTTTATTTTGAGGAAAGTTAGAATAAAATAAACAAACGAAAGTAACTTCGATTGTTTTATTTAGAGATACAGGAACAGGTAAAAAAAAGGAAACATCGGGAATGAAAGCCTTGAAAATAATCAAAGATGAAATGAAAATATGTCCAGTTTCTGATTAAGAGTATTAATATTTTTTTTAACTCTTTAAGCAGAGAAAAATAGAACTGCGTATATCTTTAATTTGTATCACTCTCTGTAATTTTTACAACTTATGAATGCTTGTTGAAAGATCAATTAGTTTGGGTGTATAAAATGCATATCAGTCAATATGTACTGATTCCGTTCAGAACGTTGCATTAACTTAGGTGCAAATACAGTTGCGAAAGGAGTCAGACCAACCCTTCTCCCCGCAGCTATGGGTTGAATAGCAGAACTGACAGGGACATACAGCATTAGTTGGTAATCCGTCTAGGAGAAGGAAAACTCTGAATTCATACCAATCTGGACAGCGTTGGGATTCGACAGGCTATCTAGCCCAAGACACATCACTGTTGCTTCGGTTATAGTATATGTAGCACTCCTAAAACCATAACTCTATTTATCTATCTGTATATTTTATTCTCTATCTCATTGTCCGTGTGTGCGTGCCTGCCTGCCTCGTTCGGTCCGTGCGTGCGTGCCTGCCTGGCTGTCTCGTTCGGCCCGTGCGTGCGTGCCTGCCTGGCTGTCTCGTTCGGCCCGTGCGTGCGTGCCTGCCTGGCTGTCTCGTTCGGCCCGTGCGTGCGTGCGTGCGTGCCTGCCTGGCTGTCTCGTTCGGCCCGTGCGTGCGTGCGTGCCTGCCTGGCTGTCTCGTTCGGCCCGTGCGTGCGTGCGTGCCCTGGCTGGCTGTCTCGTTCGGCCCGTGCGTGCCTGGCTGGCTGTCTCGTTCGGCCCGTGCGCCTGGCTGGCTGTCCTGTTCGGCCCGTGCGTGCCTGGCTGGCTGTCTCGTTCGGCCCGTGCGTGCCTGGCTGGCTGTCTCGTTCGGCCCGTGCGTGCCTGGCTGGCTGTCTCGTTCGGCCCGTGCGTGCCTGGCTGGCTGTCTCGTTCGGCCCGTGCCTGCCTGCCTGCCTGGCTGTCTCGTTCGACCCGTGCCTGCCTGCCTGCCTGCCTGGCTGTCTCCTTCGGCCCGTACGTGCCTGCCTATTTATCCGAGTCTGTTTATGTCCGTCTGTCTGTCTCTCTATCTAAGTTTGCGCATGTCTATCATTTTATCCATTTACGATGGATAAATTGTCTCCTTTTATATTTTTAATTTCGTGCATGCCTGTCTCGCTATCCGCCCGCTCATGCCTGTCTCGCTATCCGCCCGCTCATGCCTGTCTCGCTATCCGCCCGCTCATGCCTGTCTCGCTATCCGCCCGCTCATGCCTGTCTCGCTATCCGCCCGCTCATGCCTGTCTCGCTATCCGCCCGCTCATGCCTGTCTCGCTATCCGCCCGCTCATGCCTGTCTCGCTATCCGCCCGCTCATGCCTGTCTCGCTATCCGCCCGCTCATGCCTGTCTCGCTATCCGCCCGCTCATGCCTGTCTCGCTATCCGCCCGCTCATGCCTGCCTTACTATCTGTTCATGTTTGTGTCTCTACTCATGTTCGTCTATCTGATCATATCTATATGTCTGTGTGCCTGCTCCTGTCTATCTCTCTCTGTCTCTATTCGTTTATCTGTTCATCTGTCTATAAATCGGCTCATGTCTCTCTCTCAGTTCACGTCCATCTATCTGCTCATGCCTATCTGTCAGGTCTATCATTCTCTCTATTTGCTCATACCTGACTATCTAACTGTTCATATCTCTGTTTCTGACCATGTCCGTCTATCTGTCTATCTTTCTCCCTATTCATCCATGTCACTCTATCCATCTATTTGCTCATGTCTACCTCCTCATATCTGTTCCTATGTCTGCTTAGCTATCTGCTCACGTCTCTCTCTCTCTCTCTCTCTGTACATCTTTTTGTCTCTCTATAAATCTTTTTATGTCTGCCTGTCTATCTATTCACGTCTGTCTATCAATGTCTCTATCCGCTCATGTCTATCGATATGTTCATTCTTATCTATATCTCTATTTCATGTCTCTCTCTCTCTCTCTCTCTATATATATATATATATATATATATATATATATATATATATATATACACTCCAGTCTTTCTTATACTCTATATATCCGCTCATGTGTCTCTATCTGTTCACGTCTGTTTATCCGTCTCTCTATCTTTTCATGTTTGCTAATGTATCTTTCTACTCATGTCTATCATCTCATGTCATATATATATTATATGCTCATATCTGCTTATCTCTCCGAGTCTGTTCATATCTATCACGTTAAAAATAAAAGTTTTGTAATTTTTCATCAGCAATTAGTTTTGCCTATTGATATGAACAGATGCTAAGAGCCTGGTGTCTATGAAAATCACTTGAGTGTTAAAATGTATCTTTCTTCTTTTTTCTAATTGGTCTCCGGCAATATGTTTCAGCATCAGACAGTACGCATGCGCTATCGAGAGAAGGCCAATCATTTAACTGGTCACAAACATGGACAGCAAACAAACTCAATAGCTCACATGTGAAATGGTGCAAAAGGACGGGCTAATAAATAGGCCCTGTTGTCTGCATCGTTATCTCATAGGAGCACATAACCCTAACCTCCGCTTCGCAGCGGACTCGGTTGCTCAAAAATTTATTCGTATTGCATGCATAATAAGAGCGAAGATAAGAAAAATAGTGTTGTGCATAATTCATGACGATACTGCCTTGGAACGGGTTATGAGACACTGATAAGTGAGGTTGTGTGACCTTTGGCCAATACGCCAAGCAACATGGCCGTATCTCTTTACATGCATAAATATCGAACCATACTCATAACTAGTGCCATGTCGGTTCTTCGAAGACACAGACATATCATTGATGATATGAGTGCGTGTTTTTATTTTATGTCTTCTGTGATCGGATCACTTCTCATCTTCATTAATGTCTACTCGATATGTGTTGAAGTTTCAATCTCCGAACATGTGTATGTATGTGTATGGATAAATTTTCGTCTAAATTACGCAAAAATGAAAATAACGCCGACATCGCATTTTTAACAGATATATTTACAAAAATATCTTCAAAAACTAAAGAGTAAATTTATTCAATAAATCGTCATTGGCTTCAATCACGGCCTCCAGACGACTTGGGAATCTCCTGTAACTCTTCTGTGAAGTCGCCTTGTTTAAGTTGGTGAATGCTGCCATCATCCTTGCCTTCAGTTCATCTTTGGTGTTACAAGGAGTTTTGTTGGTCTCTCCGTCAATAATAATCAAAGAATTTGAAGTCTGGGGAGTTAGGTGGCCTGATACAAGAGGTGATGTGGTTACAGAAATTGTCTGACAGCCATGACTGGTTTCTCTTGCTTGTGTGGCATTGTGAAGGCTCCTGTTGCCAGACATATAGGGTCTTTCAGCAGGTACCCAAGGCAGTAGTACCTCCTGAAGGCAATTGATGTAGGCCACCGGGTTGAGTCTGAAGCCATCACCAACAAACTGGGGAGTTCTTTTCTTTTTTTTTTCTTTTTTTATCAAAATGATCAGTGAGTTTTTCGAGCTGCCGTACCTTCGTAATCACAATAAGAGTCCTTCAACTCTTTCCGACTCCTTTGCACTGTCCTCAGATTTACACCCATATACTCTGAATTGTTCGTATTAGAGGTTCCGGTGCGAATGCCAAGCAGTACAGCATGCCGTTTCCAAATTTCTGGTGGAGTAGACTGCGTGATGGTGGTCTTTTTCTCAGAGACGGTGCCCAACTGACCCTACTATACCGTGCAGTCGACAAAATCAAAAACAAACAACGCGTATGCGCGAAATTAAAAATATAAAATAGCGACAATTTACCCATCTTTTTATATATATATATATATATATATATATATATACACTCTATCGGCACATACGCATAGGCGGTTTTAAATTTTTCACTTTCCGGAATGTGCGATGTCTCTTTAAATAATACGCATTTATGTTTACGTAAACAAATTAAGGAACAGGAATATTCCGTTAGAAACAAAGAAAAGTTATGTAATGTCTATCAATCTTCCTATATGACAGTGAATGATGGACAATCTCCTCACAAATGATGCAGAGACTCATAGTAACAAGAACGTGGTTCTACAGAAGGATGCTGAGGATACTCTGGAGCTAGCATGTGAGCAAGGACGAAGATTTGAGAACACAAAAAAGGCATTTAATCTTAATATCAGAAAGTAACATTTGAAATTTCTAGGGCACATAATGAGGAAAGAAGATGCGGAAAATCTGATACTCACAGGAAAACGGCGCATAACCTACCTAGGGAGTTTGAATAAATGGATGGCAAATCAAATTTTTAGGTGGGATAATACCAAATTTATTAAGAGCTATAGATTATGGAAAGTTGTGGAGAGCCATGACCACCAACATCCTAAATGGTTAAGGTACACAGAATATTTATTTAAACTGTTAAATTTTCTAAACCTTAAGCAAAGATGACCATTTATGCGTTTATACGAACCATATATCCTCTTAATTGTTTGAATGGAACATCTTTTTTTTTTCTTCTCATGAACCACTACTTTGTGGAACCATTCCCAAGAAGATGCTTCCCCGCACACTACAATCTGAACCTGTTAATGTTTAAGATTAACCGTTATCTTTCCCCATGTCCGCATTAACTGTGACTCTTGTCTGCTACTCTGTAACCCTCTAAATTTGGTGGCTCTTGGTCCTTGTCCAAGATGATGCTAAAGAAGATATTGTCGATACATAACGCTTGACCAGAGAGTTAATGCTGATAGAAATTGGCAAATCATCCAAACGAGAGTCTCTACCACAAGGCAGCAATTCTGTAGAAAAAGCCTGTGGATACTAGCAGGATAAAGTATAATAATAAAACTTGTAAAAGTAATACTTTATACGAATAAATCTACTTCTGATACTTATACTAAAAATATAATACTAATACTGTATACTAATAAATGTAATACTAATTCTAATATTTTGTACTAATAAATATACTCTTATTACTAATATTTTATACTAACAAAATAAGGTAAATGTTACTGGCGGTTGGAATTTTATTTTTCGTTACCGTATCTCTTCAGGACATGGGCGATCAAGACTGTCCAGAAGTTCCTATATTTTTTTTTTTTTTTTTTTTTTTTTTTTTTAGTTCTTAATAAGGTTTGTCTTTTAAACATCACTCCTAGCCCTTATTCTCCCAACCATTTACACAAGCTTATAAGTATATTACTCACTGTTTCCTTTCTTCTCATATCTTTATTATGTCCTGCGAGTGACAAATTTTCTAAGCCTTCTTTCCTCATTATGTGTCCTTGAAATGTCAACTGTCTATTCTGATTCAAGATATGAGTGTATATTTTGTTTCCAGTTTCATTGAAACGCCCGAGTTACTTTCATATTTATTCCACATTTATATTACCTCAAGTTTTTCGTGTGTGAGAAGATTGTCCAAAATTCACTGCCATACAGTAGGATTTGTATTACATAACAGTTTAGCTCTCTTTTCACTGTTCCTAATTAAAACTTTGTTTCTTAATATTTTCCTTACCTTTTCGCAAGTCATCGTTTTCAATTTATCATTAGTCCTTTTCTCGCTTTTCCTTTACTGCATTCTACAATTCTCGTTTTTCCCTTATTGTAGTCTACAATTCTCGCTTTTCCCTTACTGTAGTCTACAATTCTCGCTTTTCCCTTACTGTAGTCTACAATTCTCGCTTTTCCCTTACTGCATTCTACAATTCTCGCTTATCCTTTACTGCATTCTACAATTCTCGCTTTTCCCTTACTGCATTCTACAATTCTCGCTTTTCCCTTACTGTAGTCTACAATTCTCGCTTATCCTTTACTGCATTCTACAATTCTCGTTTTTCCCTTACTGTAGTCTACAATTCCCTTTTTATGCCTGGTATCAACACTGTGTCATCTGCATATGTTGTTAATATTGTAGCCGCTAATAATAAATCCTGGCTAGACATTTAGTTCTCTCAGGATCGCTTGATAAGGGTTATGTTTTTATTTTTTTCATTCAACAATCCTTTTCTTGTTCTGTGTGTATATTGGTATGTCAATAAGTCTTTTTTCTAATTATGAAGAAAAGTGTATATTTTTATCAAATAGATGATATACTTCTCGTACTTGTTGTGGGCATTATAAAA